GGACGCGCAAGCAGCACGCAAAGTTGGCAATTCTTGTTTCGGAGTCCATTCACGTCTCTCTCTCTCTCTCTCTCTCTCTCTCTCTCTCTCTCTCTCTCTCTCTCTCTCTCTCTCTCTCTCTCTCTCTCTCTCTCAATAAATAGAGCAGACAACCCCTCTGCAACCCCTGGTGGGATTAGGGCAGCAACCCGACGGGCAGACCCCGCCCCGCTCGGAGGGCGTGCACCACACAGCGCACAGACATTATCCTAGGCACTGCGCGGCTCCTCGAGATTTCTGGGGAGTTGGGACGTGTGCGTGCGTGCGTGTGTGTGTGTGCTCGCTCGCGTGCGCTCGATCGCGCGCGCTGCGCGAGCCGCCCTGCCCGCTGCGCTGCTAGGGATGCGCTGCGGGAAGGGCTCGGCGGCCGCTCCTAGGATCCTCGTCGCTCGCTCCCCTCGTAGGACGAGGGCTCGTTGGACTCGAGGCGTGGGCCGCCGTCGTAGGGGGAGCGGGCGGCTCCGCGAGCGACGCTCGCCCAGTCCTTCTTGGTGCTCTTGACCGTCGTAAGAATTCTTTTTTCAGGTGAGCCGGTGTGTGTGCCAGTCCGCGCCAGTCCGCGCCAGTCCGCGCCAGTGTGCTGTGAGAGACTGGAAGAATTCTTTTTTTCACAATGCAACATAATGCAAGATAGGTGCCGCTTTCGCGCGAGGCGTAGCACGCGAGGACAGTCGTAAAGGCAACACGAGGTCAATGCAGTCGATTCAGACGCCTGAGACGGTGAGCAAGGGCGCTGCGTCGGGCCCAAGCGAGCCCGTCGAGGCGGTCTCCGTGGTCATTGTCGGCGGCGGGCCTCATGCCTTGGCGGCTCTTGCTGCACTGGTCGGCGGCGATGGCAAGAGTCCCGTGCGAGGCACCGTCGCTGTGATCGACCCGGGCTCGCACTTTCTCGACGCGTGGTACGGCCGCTTCCGCGCGCTCGAGATTGACCGGCTGCGCTCGCCCGCGTATGTCCACCCCTCGGCCTTTGAGCCGACTGCGCTCGTCGAGTTTGCGATCCGGGAGGGCAGGACCGCCGAGCTCGAAGCGGCGCCCGTCGCGGTGCAGTGGATGCCGACCACAGACCACCGTCCCGAGCACGCGGACTCGAGCGGCGCGTCGCTGCTCAAGGCGCTGCCGTCGAGTGCCCTCTTCCGCGACTTTTGCGCCTCGCTCGAGGCAGAACTGCCGCACAAGTGGCTCCGCGGGACCGCCACCCGCGTTGCCAGGGCGGGCGGCGGCGGCGGCGGCGGCGGCTCTTCCTTCCGCGTGCAGTACAGCGCGGCCGGGGAGCCGCACGAGCTTCGGGAGGTCGAGGCGGCCGCGCTGATCCTCGCCACCGGCCCCGTCGGGGCGTGGAGCATCCCTCCGCCTTTTGCGCCGCTGCTCTCCGCCGCCTCGTCGGCCTGCGGGCGCGTGCTCCACTCGGAGCAGCTGCTGACCCAGGGGAGAGGCACCTTGCGGGAGGAGGTCGCCAGGCGGAGCGGCGGCGACGGCGGGCCAGCCTCCGTGCTGGTGATCGGCGGCGGCATCTCGGCGGCGCAGGCGGCGCTGAAAGAGTGGACGTACGAATCGCCTAGCCATCACGCCTACTCATTCTCGGCGTCTCCTCTGCGCAGGCGGCGCTGACCGCCTCCCGCGCGGGGCATCGGGTGGTGCTGCGGTCCCGGCGGCCGCTGCAGAGCCGCCCCTTCGACATTGCCGTCGGCTGGCTCGACGTGAGGCATGCCGACCGGCTGCGCTTCGAGTACCTCTGCCTGCCGCCGACCAGGTCCCCCGCCGAAGCCCCTCCGACTGTTGTACCTCTGCGGGGGATGCCTTGCCCGAGAACCGCACACACCGCCTCGTGCGTGTGTGTGTGTGTGTGTGTGTGTGTGTGTGTGTGTGTGTACCACCCCCGTAGTGGTCAGCGAGTGCGTGTGTGCCCGTCCATGCCCAGGGCGTGTGTCCGTGCCCAGGGCGTGTGTCTCACAGACGGACGGACACCCGAGCAGGCGGCTGCAGGCGATCCGCGACGCCACCGCCGGCGGCAGCGTGCCGGCGCCGCATCTCGAGGATGCAGCACAGGGCCCCTGGGGCCCCTCTGGGAGCCTTCAAGCAGCCTCCCCACAGGCGCCGTATCTCGAGGAGCTGCAGCGGCTCGCTGCCTCGCCGGGGAGCTCTCTCCGCATCGAGGTGACGGCCTAGAAGGCTCGGAGGAGGCTCGGTAGAGGGCGCCTAGCAGAGAGAAGGTTCAGAGAAGGCTCGTAGAAGGTGGCTAGCAGACTCGTAGAAGGCTCCCAAGAGCCGGAGAGTCGCACCGGGCCGGGTGAGCGGGTGGACCGCCAGCGGTGCGCGCGTCTCGCAGCAGTCTCCTAGCCTTGCCCGGCCTCTCCTTGCCCGCCCTCTCCTTGCCCGCCCTCGCGCAGGTGGACGAGGCGGTGGACCGCAGCGTCTGCACCTCCACCGCAGACAGCGTCCAGGTCAACGGGGAGGACTTCGACCTTGTCGTCCTCTGCACCGGAGTCGCGCCAGGTTGCTCACTCACCCACGAGCACCGACCCTTGCACCCCGACGCCTCTCCCCTCCCCCCTTGAGCCCCACCAAGTGTGGCGAGCAGACCCGCCTCGCCTTGCCCTCACCTCGCCTTGCCCTCTCACCTCCCCCCCCCCCCCCCGCGCCGCGCCGCAGAGCCGCTCACGTCGTCCGCCCTGTTTCGCTCCGTCGAGGAGCCGCTCTAGCCAGACCGCCCGACGAGCCCGAGATCACCCGAGATCGCACCGAGATCGCACCGAGATCGTAGGAACTGCTCGGCGCCCCGACCGTCGGCGGCCTCCCGCGCGTCGACTCCTCGCTGCGCTGGTCGCGCGGGGAGGCGCCGTCGTGCTCTGCGCCCGACCGCGGGGCTCGAGATCCCCCGAGGTCAGCCGAGATTGTGCCGAGATTAGGACGTCTTTGTGCTCGGCGCCAACGCGGGGCTCGAGCTCGGTCCGGGAGGCGGGAACCTGGTCGGCGGCATGCGAGGCGCGAGATCACCCGCCATCACCCGATCGCCCCGAGACTGGCCCGAGACTGGCCCGAGACTGGCCCGAGATTGGCCCCGCCCTGCACCTGCGAGAGGCGTCTCGTCCGCCCCGTCCCGCTGTCTCGAGCCGGGCGTCTGTGAGCGGCGCCTCTCTGTGACGCGCAGGCGCCAGGGTGGTCTCCAACGAGCTGCACGTGCTCATGAGGGAGGGCGTCTGCGCCCCTCCCCGCAGCGGCTGGCCGGATCGCACCGCGTTCGCCAACAAGTACGCGGCGCTGCTGGACGGCCGCGAGCCAGAGGTTGCGGACGACAAGTATTCGTTCGTCTTGGGTCGTCGCTTGCGTCTACTCGCGCGATCTGACTAGGAGCCCAGCTCGAGAGTGCTGGGCTCTTTGCCGGGTGGCGGGCTGTGAGCGGCGCCTCCACACCCCTTTCCAGGTGGACGTGCTCGTCCAGCGGCTGCACTTGGCGCCCAAGGCGATCATCGCGCTCAAGAAGGCGCGCGAGGCGGCCGCCGCTGGCTGCGGCAGCAGAGCGGCCAAGGGCTGCAAGGGCGCGTGCTCCGTGCGCCATCCAGGGGGGCCCCCAATCCTGTTTTAGGCCGCATGTGCCAAAACCCCCATATGGTACTTTAACACACAACAGAAGCCGCGATGGTTGCGGCGTTGCGCGGGCTCTTGGCTCTTGCCTCGAGCCCCCGGTCGACTCTCGAGGCTCATGGGGGTTGGGGCAAAAAACACGGCAAGGCCCATGACGCATGAGCATGACACTTTGACACTCGAGCGACGAGCCATATATCGCTAATGCGCATGAGCCATGACATCAACACAAGCTCTCGCTCAGATATTGTCGCAGTGCTGCAACTGGATGTGTGCCATCTCAGTAAAACTCGTCTTTTTTTAGCCCAACACAGGGCGCGCGCGATCGGATGTGCATGTTTTTGGCGGATGCAAGCCGCGTAAGAGTTTACTCTATAAAATATAGAGAGCCGTACCAGGGCGGGTGTTGCGCATCAGTTGCGCATCGGGCGTGCGACATCCGACAATATCTCTCGTCACTCTATAGACACTACCTTCGAAAGAGGGCAGGTGGCGAAGGCCTTGTTACCCCACTCGGCATGGGCATTGTCCTCCCGAACGGCGCAGGTGACGTGTGCCACCGCCCCGCCGAGATCCAAGAGTACGTTATGGGTGGGTAAGCGCGTGCGACAGCGTGCTCTCGCCAAACACGTTCATGCTACCCCAGCATTCTGCGAGGGAGTGCGGATGCTACTACTGGAATCTACAACCTACCGTACTAGCGCGCCCCGTACCGGCCGCAGGATGGTCATCGAGTGGTACATAATGCGTGTGTGGTGTGTGCCCAACACACTCCCCACCCAGTGGCAATTACCGGTCGGTCTTCTCAGCTCGGTATCAGGCCTACGCGCCTGGTGGCCCTGCCATGCGCAGGAGATGCTCCGCGGCCTCCGAATCACTATTTCCCGGCGGGATGACCTGCACCGCCTCCACAGGGGCGGCCGCTGGGGACGGCAACGCAGGAAAGAGAGCGGCGGCGGCACTTGCGGCGGCCCCAACAGCATCGGCAGCGATGGCAGGCGTGGCACCGGGGGTGGCGGCGAAGATGGGGGCGGCGAAGGGGTGCACAGCAAGGGTGGCCGCGCCGGTGAGGGTGGGCGTCGGCGAAAGCACCGGCAGGGGCATCATGCCATGAAAGTAGAAGTACGGGTGGATGGCAATGCCGAGCGGCACACACGGCACGGGCTGCGCGATCGGCACCGCTGGTGTCGGTGGGGGCGTCTCGTCGCACTCCCCCATCGACTGCCGCGCCTGCCCCTCGAGCGCTTGAATCCATTTACGCAGCTGAACCTAGATGGAGGGCTCAACATTACAGCTTACACGAACTTGTGCAGCACAGAAAGGGGCAAATGTGGGCAACGCAGGGCGCGGGGTCGGGGTCGTCGGCGCACCGGCTCCACTTCTGGGAACTCGCGGCAGACTGGCTTGATGCGATGGCCCCGAGGCCTAGCCAGGGCCAGCTTCACTAGCTTGAGCTTGAACTCCAGCTTGTGCGACATGCGACGGCGGCGTTGCTTGGGTGGCGGCTGCGGCTGCACCTGCGGCCGCTGCGCCTCGCCGGCCTCATCGGCACTCGCGGCGACCGTGCCCCGCATGCCAAGCGCAGTAGTCCCTGCGGCCCGGCCCGAAGTCGACGCTCGCTGCGGGATGCGGTCAATTTCCCTCGCGGGATATCGCTGGCGAAGCTTTCGCTATTTTTCGCACTCAACAATTATCCGAGATCATATCTGGGCCATGGGAGGGGGACAATGAATTTGGGTTCCGTGACTGCTGTTTGTCTTGAGCACTTGATAGGGCCGATTCCGCATGGTACGGGACCCCTCGATCGTCTCGCCCTCCCTCACTGGTGTGTTCATTGGGGGGGGTCATAACAAACACGGTACAGGATCGAGGTGCACGCTGCCGAAGCAGTGTCGTCCCCCCTCTCCCCGACGGCGATGGCGGTGTGACCGATCGAGCTACAAGAGGAGCTTGTTCAGCAGGATCCGGGATAGTCAGATGCACTACCTCACTGGGCCTGAGACCACCGTACGACCCTCCCATCACCGTCTCGGATTTATGTGGAGTCGAACCACTCCGGGATGGGCAAGCCCATCAGTTAATTGTCAAAATTCAAAAAGCATCAATTAAGGTCCTCCGGGCCCCTTTAGGGAGGCAAACCCTGGCCGGCCCTTAGAACCCCAGGTAAGGCCCAGGTGTGGCCTAGGGCATCAGAAGGGACCAAGAGGAGTCCAGTCTGAGCCATAGAGCCCATGCCTTTGCCCCCGAAGGTCGCGTTCAAACGCCGGGAACGGACGTTACAGTGGTGTCCGGCCGGCGCGATCACCGAGCTGTGACGCTCAGGGAAGCCCGATGAGGTACTGGTTTCTTTGCCCAGGGCTGGCCTACGGCCCGTGCTGGATCAGCTGAGCAAGGTTTGGGGAGAATCCTATAGAAGGATCTTCAGATATTTTGACGGATGACCGAAATCACCCCGTTTTTGCCCATTTTCGGTCGTTCGTCAAAATATCTG